ATATATATATATATATATATATATATACACACACACACATTTTTACTATATATATTTCCCACATCATTTAATATATATAAAATAAATAAATGAATATATATATGTTCCTGTGGCTCAGTGGTAGAGCATTGCATTAGCAGCACAAAGGTTGTGGGTTCAATTCCCAGGGAACACAAATACTGATAAAAAATGTATAGCCTGAATGCACTATAAGTTGCTTTGGATAAAAGCGTCTACTAAATGCATTAATTTAATTTAATTTAATTTAATTTAAAATGATAGTCAATGTAAAAAGAGCAAATGGGAGAAGCAGATGAACACAAAACAGGTGAAATGTGTTGAAAAGATTCATTCAGAATGATTCAGTTGTGTAGTCTGTTGTGTTCCAGTGCTCATGAATCAGTGATCTGGTGTTTGTCAGATGTACAGTGCTGTCTGTTCATTATCTCCTCTTCTGTTCTGCATGGTCTGCTCATGGATTACTATGTCAATGGAGATCTGCTGATGTTGCTGAGTAAGTTTGGTAATTTTCTTAGGAAAATATTAATTTATATATATATATATATATATATATATATATATACTGTATATATCTTTTTCCTTTTCATGCTATTTACGATTTTTTTTAATGCTTGCAGTCATGTGTTTTTAAATAGTCCTTGACACATGCTTTCTGACTGACTATAGCACTAAATACTTTTTTTAATGGGCTAAATCATGTGAGACCTAATAATAATGACAAACTCAGTCACCTTCCCCCAGCTTAAATTACAGGACTCCCTTGCCTGGAGAACATGTATTATAATCAATGTAAATTCAGTAGGCGGATTTCAGTAAGCAATTGAAGAGCTGAATGTCAAAGCCAAAGGGGGTCTATTGGGGCTAATGGAGTGGAAAGGCAAGGTCAATGTTTTAGCTTAGTGATCAGCTCTGACTGTAAGTGAACTCTTGGAGAACGAAGCCGTCTATAAGCATGACCTAGTGAGTAGTAACATAGACTAGTCGCTAATTAACCCATTGATTTTTAAGATGTGTCTGTATGGCAGTTCACCATCTGTGTTACAGAATGAGTGTGAATTTCAGTGTCTAACACCCGTCTTACACACACAAACGCTGGAACACAAACCTTTTAATTAGCACCCCATTCATTAAATATGCACAGTGAATGCCATGGTAATGACGTTTATGCCCAGCGGCAACAGGGAGGTCTGTCTCTCACACACACACTTTTATTTCCAATAATGGTCCATTGGCACGGTTTTAAAAATGCAATTCGTATGGTTGCTCAAATATTCTCAGTTCTCCCTGTTTGACTGAGCTTTTAAATCAAAGCTTTCAGATCATTGAATGAGCCCCAGTCTACACATTTAGCAGCTGCCCTGCTGCAAAACCAAATACCTGCACGCCAGCTTTCACAAACAAAACCCCTTTTTCAGTAAAAACAATTATTCAAA